ACTGAATATCCCATGGACTGCCAAAAGAACAAACAGGGATGTCTTGGAGAAGATACAACCCAGGTGCTCCTCGGAGGCAAAGATGATGAAGCTTTGGGCATGTTGCTAGGCGAGGCTATTCCTTGAAGAAGGACATCATGCTTGGAAGATAGAGGCATGGTGAAGAAGAGGAAGACCCTCAACCAGGTAGATTGAGAGAGTGACTACAACCATGGCCTTGGGTGAGTCAGAGATTGTGAGGATGGCACAGAACAGGACAGAGTTCAGATCTGTTGTTCATAGGGTCACTATCAGTGGTACTTGACTCGATGGTACCTAATAACAACAAAAAATTAGCACAGACGGAGATTGTTCACCTTTCTCCTGCAGAGCAACTGGTGGATTTGAATAACGTGCTTTTAGGCTGGGAGTACAACTCCTTACCACTAAGCCACCAGAGATCCATAATGATATTCATGTGATTCTCATGTACTACTGACTCATAGCTGACCCTCCAGTGGGTTTTCAGAGGCAGTAAAGTGCACAGGAAGAGACTGCCCTTCTTCCTCCTGCAGATCAGGGCTGGTCGATTCAAACTGCATACCTTTGCATTGGCAATGCAATTCCTTACCACTAAGCCAAAAAGCCACACCAAATGATACGTCTATAGTACTTAAAAAACATTTTACCACTCCCAGTTACCACTGAGCTGATTCCAGGTCATGCCGAACCCCAGAGGGTTTCCCACAGGGGCCTCTTCCAGAGATCCCTGGGATGCTTTTTCAAGGTGCCCCTGGGTGGACTCGAATCATCAACCTTTTAGTCAGCAGGACACATTAACATTTGCAACACACAGAGACTCTGATAGATCACCAATCACTTTCTGATTCATCTGATGCAAACTAACAAAGTTTAGCTACAAATAGACTGACTTTTATATATGGCAGCTTCAGAAATATTTTGGTTTTTATTTTAGGAAAAAAATTTGGTGGTGCAGTAGAGAAGGGATGCAGCTGCTAACTGAGAAGTTGCTAGTTCAAATTCAGTCATCACCCTGTGGGAGAAAGGTAGGGCAATCTGCTTCAACAAAGAGGTCAGCCCAGGCAGGGTCCTTCTCTGTCCTGAGGGATGCAATGAGCTGAAATCAACTCTATGGCAGAAGGTTTGGGTTTGCTTTCACAGATGACTGAGTCGACAATGTGTGGCTCATTTGGACAAGTGAGGAAAGTTAGCATATACCCCTCACACAGGAAGAATGAGGAGTCCAAAGAAGGTCCAGTGTGTTCCCTCCCAAGACGCCTACTTTGACCAGTGTCTGAAAGTCATTAATGCCATGGCAACGTTCTCAAAACCAGGTTGCCTCTGAGCTGTTTGTTTAGACACAAGTCTGGCAGAGAAATCACTGCAAGAGTCTAATGTACCAGCTCGTTTTCTCCAGCTGAGAAAGCACGTCTCAGTGCAGTGATTACCATTTGGAGACACCTGCACTTACACCTGGCCTGCTTGAAAGCTAGATTCTATCTCTGTCAGGAAGACCCGCTTTCAGCCACTGCATGTGGAGAAAGACTGACCCTGTGTGGCTGACTTGATTAATCACTCTAAACGTCTCAAAACTTTGTAGAAGTTTCTCTACTGTCAATACCGGAGACATATCTTAATGAGCCACCTTTATAATTTTTGCTACAGGTATCTTACCATTCGTTTGAATCATGTGAGGATCCTATGAAAAACAGGTTTCTGGATCCCGTTTCAGACCTGATTCAGAATCCCCCTGGTAGGGCCTGAGGCCCTGTATTTTTTCCAAACTCTCAAGTGATTCTGTGATAAGCCAAGCTTGAGAGTAGTGGACTCAAATTTAAGAAAGAATTAAACATTTCACCTCCTTAAGAGCTTTCAAAAGAGCCTCTCATCTTTTGAAACAATGCTTTTTTTTAAAAAAGTAAACTCAATTATAAATACTTTTAACAATGCAGATATATAGAAATAAAAGCAAAAACCTTCCCTTACTTTCATTACTGAATTAACAGGGAAAGATTAAGAAAAATAAAATCCATGCTTATTTGGTGAAATCAGACTTTTCCTTGAGAAGAAATTACTATGAAAAATATAAAAGAATACGAAAAGTCTTTTTTCACAGACATGTAGATATATTTCACAAACATATACATAAAGATCTTGTATATGTATGTATGTGTATTTATATATCTCTGGTGGCATAGTCCCTCAAGAGTTGCATCACTTACTCAAAGGTCATTCCTCTCTGGTGGTTCAAATCTACTACAGGCTTCATGGGAGAAATACAGACAATCTCCTCCTGTGTGATTTATAGCCCCAGAAACCCAATGGACTTAGCCAATTTGACTTGAGCTGAGTGTGTATGTCTGTGTGTGTGTGTAGTCAAGGACTATAGTCTTAAATATAGATTGAAGCTCAACATCAAGAAGACAAAAGATTCTCACCATGGGGCTAACTGGCAGCACCATGATGGATGGAGAAGAGACAGAGGTTGTTAATAGTTACAGCTTGCTCGGCTCCACAATCAACACTCTCAGCACCAAGTGTCAGGAAATCAAAAGATAAATTGCACTAGGTAAATCTGCTGTCAGGGACCTCTCCAGAATACTGAGAAGCAATGATGTTAGTCTAGAGGCTTTGGTGTGCCTGATCCAGTCCACAGTCTTCTCAATTACTTGCTATGTATAAGAGAGCTGGACAATGACCAAGCATGACAGAAGAAGAACTGATGCCTGGTGCTGGAGAAGAGTCTTGAACTTACCACAGACTGTCAAGAAAACAAATAGGTCTGTCTTAGAATGAAATCAAGTTTCTCCTTGGAGGCTAGGATTTTGAAACATATTTTGGGCATGTGGCCAGGAGGGCCAATCCTTGAAAAGGGACATCATGTCTGGAAGGGTGGAGGGATAGCACAGGAGAGAAAGATGCAGTATAAGATGGACTGATATAGTAACTAGGGCAATGGGGGTAGATGTGTTGGCATCAGTGATAATGGCTCAGGACAAGGTAGGCGTCAGAGCTGTTGTACATAGAGTCACTGTAAGTTGCAGGCAACTCAACAGCACCAATAACAACAAAAACAACAACAACATTATATATATAAATATAAAATCCCCCCCTTTTTCCTTCCTATGCAGATGACACAACCCTACTTGTGAAACTGAGGAGGGCTTGAAGAATTTGTTGAAGAAGATCAAGGGCTATAGTCTTCATTATGCTTGGAAGGGTGGAGGGACTATCCAGGAGAGGAAGACACTGGATGAAATGGACTGACACAGTAACTAGACTTACAGGGATAGGTGTGTCGGAGATGGTAAAGTTGGCTCAGGATAGGACAGAGTTCAGAACTACTGTGCATAATTGCTATAAGTCGCAGGTGACTTGATGCCACATAACAACAACAACAACAACAATAACAATTCATGAAAACGCTCTGTACAGGGAGCGGCAACAGTTGAGGGGAAAAACATTCCTGCTCCTCCCAACAGCAGTCAGTCCTAGCAATACTAGGTTCAGAGTGGGAGCTCCACCCTTTGGGGACTGTGGAACCCACTGGTCACAGCTGGATCCCAGGAAGCCCCCTCACTGTACCTTACAAGATCTTTTAAAGAAGTGGCACATCATTTATAACTAGAGAGGACTTTTCTTTTTCTCTTTTTGCTTACATAAATATTTGTTTCCATGTTCTTTGATAAAAATGAGCAGAGACATGATTTAGCATAAAAATGAATCTCAGGCAAAGAAAATTTATTCTGATTCCACATGTAGTCCACAGACTTTAAGATAGAGGCAGCACTGTTCTCTGAGAACAGAAATAAGGCATTCTGGTATCCTGATTGTGTTCAATGATTTAATTACTAAGTGATAGCTATGCATATTAAGAGACTACAAAACTCCCAGAGTATATTTCTAGAACCCAAATTAGCCCATTGTCATGAAGTCAGTCACAACTCATGGTGATGCTACATGTTACAAAGCAGAACTGTGCAACGGCCTTTTCTTTCTTTATGGAGACAGACTTCCAGGTTTCCTCAGAGGTGCCTGGGGTGAACTAAAATTGTCAGTCTTTCCGTTAAGTACCAACTAGTCAGTTAAGTGCATTAGCTGGGGGACCCCTCAGCCTTTAGTTTGCAACAGAAGGGCCCATGGTTCCTGTTAAAAGGCAGATGATAAACATAATTTATCCAGTTTTTCTAAAATCTCTGTAGATGTTCATTGAAATAAAAAAAAAGGCAGATGACTAGTTCCCATCTCATTCAACTGACTCAGTAGGCCTTGCTGGGATGGAGCCTAGAAATCTTGCCTTTTTTAACTAGTGTGCTTATCCAAGCCACGGTCTTTTTAATCCACCTGAGAGTTGGACAATGAGTAAGGATGAGAGAAGAATTAATTGTGGTGCTGGAGGAGAGCACTGAATATTCCACGGAATGCCAAAAGAACAAACAAGTTTGTGTAAAAGAGCGTGCTCCTTACAGGCAAAGATGGTGAAATTTCATCACATACTCTGGGCATTTTGTCAGGAGGGAAAAGTCTACCAGTCCTTGGGGAAAGAACACATGCTAGGAAAGGTGAAGAGCCAGAGAAAGCAAGGAAGACACACAACAAGATGATGGACTGATACACTGACTTTAACAATGAGATCTAACATATCGGAGATGGTTCAAGATAGGGCAAGAGGTTCAGATATGTTGTTCTTAGGGTCACTATGAGTTGCAGTCAATTTGACAACATCTAACAACAGCATGGGTTATCCACACTCTTCCCTAACCCAAGCCTCCACCTACAGCCTCTGAGTTTTAGGCAGTTTTTATCTCAAACTTCTCTTTCTTCAAATCCCACTGGTAGCTTACTGCTTCCAAGGGCAGCCTATTCCATTTTATAAACATTAAATTTAAGAAAAGCTTCTGATAGACACCTGTACAGCAAAACAGAAAGTTAGTCAAGAAGGGCTTACACAAATACACTAATACACAGAAATTGAGGAATTAAATCTATAAAGAACTGACCTGCTTTTTCTGGTATTTGTTTATCAGATTCAAAAACAAGGCATAACATCTGGAATAGTTGGCCAAGGCTGCACAGCAATCATGGTAAGAAGTAAGTTTGCTGCAGAAATGCCAAATGGGAAAATAAACTTTATTTCTCTGTAAAATTCAAACACATATTATCACTTTAAAAATTGTTCTTCAAAAGGTTTCATAGTTTATAAGAATGAATTTAGGAAGACTCAACACACACCTCCAGAGAAGGAACAGAAAACTTGACGCTTGTCTAGGCTCTGGGTTAAATGAGGAGAGGAAGAATATATTTTTTTATCCACTTGTTTTAAGGAATAATAATTTTTAGAAAATTGCTTGAAAAAAATTAAACTTGAAACTATAATACACATGCTGTTGTTGTCGCTATGTGCTCTCAAACCAGAAGTGAATCTTAACTGATCTTCCAGTGGGTTTTCAGAGGCTATACATCGCAGAGGGAGACTGTTCATTTTTTCCCCACAGAGCAGTTGGCGGATTTGAACCATGCATTTCTGGGTTGGCAATGTTACTCCTTGCCACTAGGCCACCACAGATCCCTTCCAATTTATATTATCTACATGATTCAGAAAACACAAGTGTACAAATGTACCTAAAATCTAGGAGGATATCAAGAAATGTTTTGGGCCCTAACAGAAGCAAAAATAAAACTGCACTAATATTCTAAGAAAATACTCATAAAAATGAAACTGGTGTACTATGTTAATATTAGCCCAAACACACCATAAAGCAAAAAGTCTTCAAGATAGCTTAAAATATCTAAAGCAAAAGTAAAGCAAATAAAAAAACCCATAAGACCTTGTTTGACAAGTCCATACCAAATTTATAGATGCATAGGTAAAGCATCATAAATATTTTAAAAAATTCATTATGTATCAACAAACCTCAGCAAATTTGGAACTGGCATCCTACAGATTATATTCTCTTGTCAAAGTGCAATTACATTGGCGACCAACAAAACAAAATACTTATCTTAAAAAAACACCACACTCTTAAAAGTTTTAAAAACACAGAGATTAAAGGTCAAAGGAAAAGAAAAATCAGGAAATGATTAGGTTTGTGACTAATAATAAAAGTAATACACATCAAAATTACGTAGGTGCCGCTAAAGCAGCAGTTAGAAAAAAATTTATAGCTTAAATAAGGTGGCTGAAGAGAAAAGAGTTGACTTTTTAACAATTAGAGGAGGGAAAACAGAAGCAAAAATAAGAGAAGAGAAGGGATAAAACAGGAAACAAAAATGCAGATCAATAAATCTGCCTGTAAACAGGCAAACCTTTGAGAAAGCTAAGCAAGGGGGTGGGAGAAGAAAGAGAAAATGACTTAAAAAAAAAGAGACATGAACATAGTGGCTCAAAGTACCAGTACTAGAGTCAGACTAGTTGGTTCTGAATTGCCGTTCTCCCATCTGTGTGGCCTGAGGCAAGTGAATGATAACAGTGCCTAACTTTATAAAGCTATTACAAAAATGAAAATCAACTATAAAACCATTAAAGCAGACAATAAATACAAAGGAAGATGGATAAAAGAAAATGAAATGATTTTTTTTAAAAAAATAATTAAATGACTTAGTGTTTGGCAGTGATCAGGGAACTCACAGCGAGGCTGCTTCTCGGGAAGTCTGAATCCACCAGCTGTCCAAGGCAGGAAGATGAGCAGCTTCCTCCTGTTACGACTGCTATGAGCCTACACTAACTCGACAACAGCAAGCCTGGATTTTTTATTTTACTTTTGAAGCACTCTGTGTAAGAAGCCTTGGTGTTGCAGAAGCCGAGCTACAATCCCAAAGGCAAGCAGCTTGAATCCACCAGCTGCTCTGTGGAAGAAGGATGGGCACCCTCCTTCCGTACGACTAACTGCCTCTAAAAACCTGCCGGAGGGTCAGCTATGGGTCCATTCTAACTCGACGGTACACAACACCAATCAGAAGGTTAGGCTTTTAAACTCACCAGTTTTAAACACTTCCGAGGAGAAAAGATGGTAAACACTTACTATGGTAAAGACTGTTGCTATGTGCCACCAAATCAATTCCAATTTTGACAATGCTTTAGGATAGAGAAGAACTACTCCACAGGGTTCTTTCGAAGCAGTTCTCATGGGAGCAGACGACCAGCTCTTTGCTCCCAGAGAGCTGCAACTGACTTTAAACCATCAAGTTTTGAGTTGGCAGTTGAACATGCAGCTGTGCTAGGAGAGCTGCTTCCATAAAGATTTCAGCCTAGGAAACCTTATAGGGGGTTTCCTGAGGGTACTCTGTGTTGGAATTGAGTTGATGGTGTACAACAAGAAGCAGCACTAGACAGGCACGCATTATTACTCCGTGTCCACAGGATGTTCTAGAAAACGGGACATCATGTTACTGGGGTGCTGTAAGAACACCATTTCATACTCTGGCATCTCTAACAAGCTTTGTGTCTCAGCAGTGAGTGCCAACGTGCCAGTCGGGATTCTCTTTTGCGTTTGGTCCTCAATTCACACCGGCAGAAGTTCTCCACATTTGAAACAAGCCCTTCATGTAGTTTTATTAGCTTTGCCGCTATCATTGGAACTGGTCTGCTAACACTCTGGAGAATTACTCTTTGTTTTTGATGATTGTTTAGATTGTTAAGTGTAGTGAGCCTAAGCCATGAGCAATAGCATTCACTGATTTTCTTCTTCTGTGATGTTTCACTTCCAAACTGATATTTCTCCTTTGCCTCATGTGGCTGTTATCTTTTTAGCACGGGTTTATTTATGTTTGAGAATAGGGATGCACTTTATGGTAATAGTTTTGAAAGAAAATGAAGCAGATAGTGCTGCAACACTCATGAGACACACTATCTGTGTGACTGGCTGCTGCCGCCTGTAAGTATATACTGTTATTATTTCTTTTTTCCTTGTTGTTTGCCACCAAGTTGGATCTGACTGGCACAGGAGGAGATTGTCCCTCATTATCCAGCAGAGCATCTGGAGGGTTCGAACTGCACACCTTTGGGATGGAGCTACAATACATTTTTACAACAGAAAGTATCACATACAAACAAGCCAGCAACATAGGTGTTTATTATGACAATGAAGGCATGTTGTTGTTGTTGTTGTTGTTGATTGCCTTCAATTCGAGCATGACTCATAGAGACCCTATGAACAAAAGGCCTGAAGCCCCTCTACAACTAGACACTTATGAAAGTTCAGAGAATTTCCAGAGGCACGTTATTTAGGAAGTGGATGCCACTCCAGGTACTATACTAGTCTATGTTTGGCAGTGTACCACTTTGTATATAAGTGATGTGAGACACATGTGTTCTATTTAGGAAGCTGCTACACCCACTACATTCTCTTCTCTGATCAGTAATTCTGAACTCTATTGTAGCCCTGGTGGTATAACATTGTTAGTTTAGTAACTTAGAGGTTAGTAGTGTGAATCCATTAGCAGATCTTCAGGAGAAAGAGTCTTCTGTAAAGATCTACAAACTGAGAAGTCTGACGAAGAGCACTATGAATGGGAATTGTCTCAATGGTAATGAACTTGGGACCTCTTGGGACCACAGACATGTGTGTGATTGGATGTTTCCAAAAAAAGATATTATGAGGCACACGACTGTTATTTACTAAATGCATAAAAATAATTAAAGGGGACATCATCAGAAACAACAGAAATTAAAATAGTAATGAGAAAATATTTGGAAGGACTTTAGGTTGGAGTTTTGGACAATGGATAAAATGGACAAACACCTAGATATATGTAAAGTTTTAAAAATAATCCAAGGTGCTAGAGAAGAGTCTTGAACATACCAGGGACTGCCAAGAAAACAAACATGTCTGTGAAACCAAGTTTTTCCCTGGAAGCTAGGATTTTGAAACTCCATCTCATATACTTTCGGAACATGGCCAAGAGAGACTTGGAGTCCTTGGAGAAGAACATCATGCTTGGAAGGGTAGAGGGACAGCTCAAGAGAAGGAGATCCTGGATGGGATGGATTGATAGAATGACTGGGGAAATGGGAGTTAGGATTAGTGAGACTGACTCAGGATAGGGAAGGGTTCAGAGTTGCTGTTCACAACAACAATAAATGATCTAAGAAGAAATAGGAAATATGACTAGATTAATAACTGCAGAAGAAGCGACTGTCATTCACACATGGGAGTATAAAATGGCTATTGTAACAAGTTCTTCAAACTTTTCAAGAAACATTGAAGTTTACTTTCATAAATTCTTCAGTAAAGGAAAACAAGATGGTTTTCATCTTATGAGACAAATGTAAATATAACACTAAAACCAGACAATGTGAGAAGGAAAAACAATCTAATTTATGACCATAGGTGAAAATGACAAACAAAATATAAACCTAACCACCAACATCTCTCTCTACCCCTCTCATTGCCCTTAAGTTGCAACCAACTCATAGTTGGCCCTGCATCAGGTTTCCATGACTGGAAAGTGAAGAGATTGCCTCCCTTCCTCTTGGAGAGCCACTGGTGGATTCAAACTGCTCCAAACCTTTGGTTAGAGCAATTCCCTATGGTCTACACCAACAGAACGGCCTCTCCAAATTCTTTACATTAATAAATTTTAAAATAAGTCCACATAATCAAAGTAGGTTCAGGGCAAGCATTTGAGAACATTTAACATCCATTAATGAGAAAAATTTGAGCTATAACAAATATTATTTCAATTGCTTAAACCAAAATTATTTCCATTAAAATTAAGATTTAGGTAGCAGGCCCAGCATTCTTACAGCTTTGTAGTGAAGGTCCTAAGAAATGCAACAAAAAGGTGGTGGAGGTGTGGAAAAAATGAAAGGCATTACAAAAGACAAATTACCCTTACTTGCAGGCAATTTTCATAGAAAAATCCATTAGAATTACAGTCTATCTCTTAGGCCTAATGTTTGGTAAGAATGCCAGATACAAGATCAATAAGCAAACATCAATACTGCTCAAATACACTAGCAACAACTTATTAGAAATTAATTTTTTTAACATCATATTCGTACCCATAGAAAACCTATGAAGAGCCCAAGAATAAATACAGCAAAAGGTCTGCACGATCTTTATAGGGAAAAACATAAAATTTTATTGCAGGACATAAAAGAACACCTCATAAATGTTTATGGATGAAAGACTCAGTATCATAAAGATGTCATTCTCCCAATCCCCAACCTAATTAATCTGCATATTCAATATAGTCCCATTAAAAATCATAAAAGGTCAATCACAGACCCCAGTTGAGTCCCAAATTTGTAAGAACAAGAGAGTTTTCAAGGAGAAAACATGCAAAGTGTTCATCTTACTTGACAGCAAAACAGAAAAGAAAATTATTATAATAAAAAATAAAGTATGGTATTTGTCTGATGATTGAACAGATAACTCAGGAATAGACCTACAAATATTGGAAAGTTATGATTGAATGGTAAGAAGTTGTGCTGCCAACCCAGAAACATGTGGTTTGAATCCCTCAGCTGTGCTGCAGGAGAAAGATGGGCACTATCTTCCTGTGTGACTAATTGCCTCTGAAAATCCACTGGAGGGTCAGCCAAGGGTCAGTTTCGACTCCATGGTACACAAAACCAACAGCATGTGAATGAGGGAGCTCTGATCCATAGCTAATTTTGCTGCTAACTTAAAGGCCACTTCACCAGTGGCTTATAAAGCCCACCAGACGCTCTAGGGGAAAGGAAGAGCAAAGTTCGCCCTGCTATTGAAAGCTGTGAAGAACACAATGGAATATCATAGTTATGAGTAGGTTCTGATGTGACAGCAACGAGCTTGAGTTTGAGTGTATGAACAATTATATTTTTTTAAATCAGTGAGAAAAGGATCGTGTATTCCATAAAAGATTCTGGGGAAAGGAACTATTGATAGGGGTGGTGTGGGGGGTATGCAATTGGACCTCTATATGTCAACACACAGAGAAATAATCACTTTATTATTTACAAGCTTCAAAATGTGAGTCATTAAGTACCCAAAATATAACTTAGATTGAAGCCTGAAAGGATTTTCAGATCAAGCTCAGCTGTTAATTCAGTCTTAGAAGACTTTCAGGTTTCTGTTAACAACTACATCACTATAGCTCACAAAAGTTCTCTAGACCTTCCTTATATGCAAATACTAGCAAAGTACAGTGAGGGAGGAAATAGAAACCTTGTAATTTAAAGACATCTTTGAAATTTAAAAACTTCTACTTTTAAAGAAACCTGGCTCTAAATGAACATCACTTCTAGGGTACAGTAAGAATAAGCAAGACTTGTTGTTGTGTACTGTTGAGCCAGATCCAACTCACAGGTAACTAGCAAACTAAATTTAATCACAGCACTAAACTGAAAGAAGTTGTTACCAATCAAGCCAGATGAAAGTTTCTAAGCAGTGGCCCCACCTTTTACTTAAAGCACTCATGTTTCCAAGTACACCAGAATGCTTACTATGTATTTGGATACAATTTTTGTTTTGTTTTAAATATCCAAGGGTGTAGAGATATGAAAGGAGAGAAATGGAGAAAGAGAGGAAGGAGAGGAAGAGGGAGAAGGAGAGGGAGAGGGAGAGAGGGATGGAGGAAGGAGAGGAAGGAGAGAGAGGGAGGGAGAGAGACACAGAGAGAGAAGCAGAGAGACAGAGACAGAAAAAAGAGATAGAGCACAAATACAAACACAACTCATGAAAGAATAAAGTACCTTACAGTAATTTATGCTAGAAATAGATTCTAAGAGATTTTAGGAAATGAAATAATTTGTTTAAATTATTTATCTTAAAACTAATTTCCTTGTTGTTGAGTGTGGGTGACTCATACAGCAGCTCGGGTTTTCCAAAGCTATAAATTGCATGGGAGGAGGCTGTCCATCTTTCTGCTGCAGTGCTGCTGTTACATTAGAACTGGCTGTTAGGTTAGAAGGCCACTTAAATTCATCTTATTTACTAGGTGAAATAAAAAGCAAACATAGGATTGCTTGTGAGTAATAACACATAAGAATGAAAGGTAACTCAAACCAGAGCATAAGCATTCTTGTGAGCTTGTTTCCCCAGCCTACCTACCTGAATATTCTGCTGATATTGGTGCAGACATCCTGGTCACCCACATACCACTCCATCACTGTGCAGAGCTTAGGCAGGGCGTTGATGCTCAGTAATTTACTTCTCACCAACGGTGAATCAGCTAAGTTTCTCAATGTAGCAGTCACCTAAGATAAAAACATGCTTGCGTTATCTTTTCAACTGGAAATTTAAACACCTCATATGTTTCATTGCATCCGTAGCTAAATCAGGCTCCTATTACCCATCTCACACCAGAGGCACAAGTAGCATGAGAAGAAAACTTAATACACAAAGACAGACTAATTTGGTTGAGAAGTGTGGTACAGTGGGTGTATTGTTCAAAATTACTTTTTGAGGCCATTGTCTGTGACTTTGCCACATGCCTGAATGGGAATGTGCAAACAGGATGTATTGACCTATTCACAAGAGGACTGGTCAGTATTGCAATTCCGCCAGGCTTAAATTGAGCAAGCTCAGTGGGAGAAATTTAGAAATCTTATTACCAGCAAGAAGGAAGGAGGGAATGCAGCATATGTCCTTTGAGGCCAGATTCCTGTGCCAGTCAAATCAGGGCCTACTGGAGAGAAGCCACACAGCCAAGAACCAGAGAGACAGACACGACAGAGGTGACTGCAGCCTCATGGAGCCAGAGCTAGGGTCTTTGCCCATGCTTGCAAGAGGACTGGGGCAGAGAGGGAGAGATGCTCTGTAACAGTGGTCTAAAGCCATAAGAATGAAGGGTCCACGAGCACAGTTCAGAAGCTGCCCTGGCTGAGAAATTGTATCCTGTCACCAGCCTGAGTTTTACCCATTAACTTCCTTAATAACCCCCATAATCGGAGTAAGGTTTTGTGAAGTCTGTGTAACTATTGCAATGGATTTTGTACTAAGAAGACTCATAAAAGACCTTCGTTGGGCATATGATGTAACCTTGCTTACTGAAAAGTGATAACCTGAAGTACTTTCAGCCTTCAGATTGCATCACAACATCAAGAAAACAAACATTCTTGCCACTGGACCAAGAGGTGACACCACAATAGATAGAGAAAAGAGTGAAACTATCAATGATTTCCTCTTACTTGAATCCACAATCAATATACTTGATACTAGCTGTCAGGAGATCAGGAGACATATTGTACTGGGAAAATCTGCAGTCAGGGACCTCTCCAAATTAATAAGGAGTAATGATGTTAATTTGTGTACTAAAGTGCACCTTATTCAGGCCATGGTCTTTCCCATTATTTGCTATGCTTCTGAGAGCTGGACTATGAATAAGGATGACAGAAACGCTGATGCCTTTGAACTGTGGTGTTGGAGAGAAGTGCCGAACATCTCATGGATGGCCAAAAGAACAAACAGTTACGTCTTGGAGATGGTGTAGCCTGAGTATTCCCTGAAGGCAAGGATGACAAAGCTTCAAATCACATACTTTGGGCATGTTGCTAGGAAAGGCTATTCTTTGGAGAAGAACATCATGCTTGGAAAGGTATGGAGATGGAGGAAAAGAGGAAGACCTTCAAGCAGGTGGACTGACACAGTGACTACAACAGCGGGCTTGAGTGTGTCAGAGATTGTGAAGTTGCCACAACACAGGATAGGGTTCAGAGCTATTGTTCACAGGATCAATATTAGTCATATTTGACTTGAGGGCACCTAATAACAACAACAACAAGACAGTTGGAATTTGTAGAGAGAAGTGTGGGAGCTTGGGGAAGGGATCATGTTTGATCTCATGAAAATTGTTTTGTTGTGGAGGCTGTTGATGGGGTCAGTCTCCCTTTTGGAGTGAGTAGAGGTTAGAATCAACTGTCCTCATTATGCCTTTGCTCTTTTTACCAAAGTAAAAAATAAAACATTAATGTTAGTAACAAAAATCAACACTTCTGAAGTAAAAAAAAAATTGTTGTCTGAAATTCATTAAATCTTTGATTGGCATTCCCATAAACCACCTCGGTTCTATATAAATGTCTTGTCCTCTATTTTTTATGTTGTTGTTTTAGGTGCCATTGAGTGGACTATGACTCAAAAGGACCCTCTGAACAACAGATTTGAACCATGCTCCACCAACTCTGCACCTCCCTCATGATCTCACTATATATATGCTCGAGCTGTTGTGAGTCACCGTGCCAATTCAGCTTGTTGAGGGGCTTCTTCTCTTTTTCTGATCTTCCCAGCATGAGGTCTCTTTCCACGGACTGACCTCTCCTGACAACATGAGATGAAATTTTACCACCCTTCCCTCTGAGAAGCATCCTGGTGGAACCTCTTCTAAGACAGACTTGTTTCTTCTTTTGGCATCCACAGGATATTCAGTTCTCTTCTCACTGCAATGTGATGTATTTTCAATAAGTAGCATCAAATAAAAATGTGTCCAAGGAATAGTCAAGACTGAATCATTCACCTTTAAAAGGCAATAATGAGTAATAGAGAAATGATGTCCTTAAAAAAATAATTCAGTAAAGCTACCTATGTCAGTCTGGGTCTAAGAGTTCAGGAGGGTGTAATTTAGTATACCCATAAAGCTAATGTTTCTGCCATCTAATGTTTTAATCTGAAGAACAATCTTCCCTCCTGATATAACACAGACTAATAGGTAAGTGAGGCAGCTGTGGGGCTGGGCCGCTTGCTCAGATGCCAACATCACCACGTACGAGCTTGGGTTGCTCATTTTACCTCCCAGAGCACATCTTTCTCAAGTGATTATTGCCATTAGTTGCCGCTGAGTCACATTTGATGATAACTGCCCTGGAGTTCTGAGGGTTTAAAGAGATGAGATGTGTAAATTATATTTGCTTTGCATATGAGCTACTGGGAGCTCAAAAATCCCTCCCACCTTTGCTGCATGACTTCACAGCCAACACAGACAAGAGCAGAAAGCACTGGCTTTAGAGCTAAATCTATGTCACTTATAGAGGCCACTTACCACTCAACCTTCCTATTTCCTCATCTGGAACCACCATTTTGGGATGGTTTTATTAATCAGAAAGCAGACATGTAACAATGCTTTGCATGCACTGGATGTATATTGTATGGATAGATGTACGATGTAAACAACTTGTGCTCAACTACTCACCTAAAAGTTGGCAGTTAGAAATCATTCAGCAGTGGCAAAACTGCTAAGCATTTGGCTGTTAATCCAAAGGTCAATGGTTCAAACCCACCAGTCTCTCTGAGTTACCAAGATCTCAGCCTGGGAAATCCTATGCAGTTCTACTCTGTCACACACAAAGAATTGCCGTGAGTCAAGGCAACTCAACGGCAGAGGGTTTGATTTCCAGTTTGAAAGCATTTTTAGTATCATTGGAGTAAAAAAAAAAGTTAATAAACTTTTCAAAACTATTATTAAGATAATATTATCTTTGATTAGTTTTTCCTTGCAACAACAGCAACAAAAAGATTGTGCAAGTTAACATACAGGGAGCTCTGGTGGTCTGGAGGGGTAGGGAGGTGCTATGCCAAAGCAAAGGCAGATAGCCCAAAGGCACCAGCTGCTCTGTAGGAGAAAGACTGACAATCTCCTTCTGGGTGATTCACAGCCTCTGAAAATCTGTAGGAGGGTCAGCAATGAATTGGTTCTGACTGGATGGGAATGAGGTTTTGTTTTTATTTTTTTAAAATTTTATTTTATT